GAATTCAACAAAATTGAAAATCATTTTCTATGTCCTACACATAAATCAATCATTTTTTTTTCTCCACTTTCTTTGTAAATAGCACATGTCTGTCAGACACATCCACTCAAGTACAGACTAATATACAATCTTTTTAAGTTCCCACACTGGGAAACTATTTCCAAAATATACAACCAAGCAAACCAAAAAATTTGTCAATGCTTTCCCCAATTCTTTTTTTCTTTTTTTATAAATTTATCTCCCAAAACCAAACCACACACACCCATACTTTCAAAAATTCACAATTTTGTAAACTTGGTAAATTTTCAATTTGTTTTTTTTTATAAATTTGACATAGGTGTCCGGTCCACAGACATGGTAATTTCTTTAATGTCCAGAAAATTTTAGAAAACAAATTTCGTAATGAATAACATTGACACTTTCGTTGGTAATATTTGTGGTGTTATAGATGAAACTTGGAAAACAAAATTTTAATTATTGTCAATTTGCAATATTGAAAGTAGTTTATTTGAAATCGTGATCAAATACATTATTTTTTTTATTGCATTTCTTAAATACTGATTTTTATTTTAGTTGGTTGAAGACAATTTTGTGCCATGTTTTTTACGTGATGTAATTGGGCACAATTATAGACTTTACAGTTATTGCATGTAATATGTGTGACGAACTTCGTTATGACAATCTGTGAAATAGGGATTTTGCATTAACCATACACGCATGCAAAGTACGACGATTTCGAAAGTTTTTTTTTAAACATTCGTACATCTTCAAATATCTAAACAGTTTTGTACGTTATGCATACAAAAGTATAAAACAAGACAGGGATGACAGTTTTCACAAAACACATACTACGGAAAACATTTAAAAGTAGTCATGGTAAACAACACTGTCCGACTACCTACCATTGCGCCGAATTTCGTATAACTCAGCCCTTATCCGATGACGCACCTCCGCCATTTCAACGTCCTCGTCCATAGCCACCACGGCTTCGTCTAGGGCAGCCAAATCTGCGCGATCGGGAATATCGGCATACGTGTACTCCGCCGCATTTCTGACAGCAGCAATGGTCGCATCATCCTCGCAGTTTCTGCGTATGAAATTGTGTAATGCCATAGATGCAGCCACCAACGGCACCTGGACTCTACGAAAGTCAAACCGAGGCATATTGTGCAAGAATCTCCACCGCGACTTCCAAGCGCCAAATGTTCGCTCAATCACACTCCGCAATGAAGAGTGGGCACGGTTGAACAACTCATCACGATTTCTCGGCTTGTGACGTTGAAAGTGTGGTTGGTGATAGTGGCTGCCCTTATATGGTGCGAGAAATCCCTTCTTATTACTGTATCCGCTATCTACTAGATAATAGCGACCTGTAAATGTGTACATAGTAATACATTTTTGTTTCACGTGTGGGCAAACAAATTTAACAAGACATGGCATTGAACAAATAAACTGTGCGTACGTACCATCCACTGCAGTTGGAAAATTATATTGCGGATCCTCGGTCACAATGTTTAAAATCCGGCTGTCATGCATGCTACCCTCCCAACCACATGACACAAAGACGAAACACATATTGAAATCACACACTGCCAAAATATTTTGAGTGTGGCAACCCTTTCGGCTAAAATACGGGGCTGCTTCCGACTCCTTTATGCACGCTGGCACGTGTGTCCCATCCAAGGCACCTAAACAATCCTACACAATTCGAACAAGTAGGCAACGTATTAGTACCATGATGACATGCATTATAGCCGCACAATTTTTTGAAGTCACATCTTCGTATAATTTGTGGAAAAAAAACTCGAATTGTTGCATTTTTTTCGCACCTTAAACGGCAAATACTGTGGTTGGGTCTGCAGGTGGGGATCCCTACTGTTTTGGAAATCTGTGGGCAGCTGACAGTGCACGACGGTAAACTTTTTCATTGCTTTCAGAACATTATGAAAATGACGTGATATTGTTTCACCGGAGTGTTGGAATCTTTCTTGAAGCTCGCGGTTAGGCAAGTTTTTTAGGACGTGAATGAAGATTGCAACACTCTCCTCAACGTGCAAGCCGTGGTCCCGCTCAGGTACATGCAACCCGAAGTCGTTCACTAGTGTGCCACATAAACGGGTAAAAACGACTTTGGGCATGCACAGTTCATAGCGAAATCTGCCACTGTGTCCATTATACATAAATCACATAACTTCAAATGAAATCAGAAGCATAACATGACAGACTCCAAAATTAAACATGCAAAAATTAATTTTTTTAAATGAAACTGTTAAGGCTGTCAATAACAGGAGTATTATGCATAAATAATCAATTTATTTCATTTGCATAAGTTCTTCTGAGACCTTCTATTGTATTAAAGTAGTTCTGTTGGCACGGTTGAAATCGTGAAGTCATTTACTTGATGTATAAATAAGCAAATTTTTTTTCCCTTTTATGACTAATAAGCAATACAGAAATTGCAATGAGATATACAAAAACACAATGTTAAATTAAAATATACAAAAATAATAACTTAAATTATTTTGCTTGTTTTAGTACCTTACAACGGGTCTAACTTCCAATTTTTAAGTTGAAGGCTTCAGTAAACTGGACATGTCTCTCTGCAAGTAGCAACGCTTTTGTTGAAATGGTCCAGTACAGCTGATTTATAACAACCACTGTTTACATAACTATGAAGCTGCAAATTGGAAGAGTGTAATCAGATTCATGGTTTATTGAAATTTTAAAATTGTAAAATCCATAGCCAATACCCAACCAATGCACATCCATAATTAGAAAACTAGGCAAAGAAAAGGAATAGCATAACCATCTCCCTACCAATTCTCCTTACAAAGCGTAGTTGAAAACATCATGTCATTAGCAAATACATAACAAACAAGTTCGAAAAGAAGTCCAACACAAAGCATTTCATTAAAACGCAGCCCTTTAGCAAATATAAGCGAAGTCCAACGCATAAGCGAAAAGAAGTCCAACACGTAACCCATAACAAGTCCAACACACAGCATAGTTAGAAATGAAGTCCTTGATTGCGCAATATGCTTGCAAGAGTTGGAGCTGCTGTCGTCCTCTCTTTGTCTTGTTGCTTCACCTGGAGCCAGCCGATAATGCCTTCATCGGAAGGAATACTCATAACCATCTCCCTATTATTGGGCACCTCCATAAGGGAAATACCGAAATGGAGCAGTGGATTAGTTTGTTCAAGTCCTTGAATTTCATAAAGACGTTGGATAGCTTCGGCCATAGCGACACTTTGTCCACCGACAACATGGTTAACAGTGAGTTCCTTACTTTGTGTCTTCACCGAATTCACCAAATCATCCATGCTTGTTGCCAATGCTTCTGCCCCGGTGATTCGTTTCTTCTGCACGGCTGTGACAGATGAGTGCCTCCTTTTGCTACCACTACCGGATGCGGTAATGTTTGCAGATTTCATCAAGTTTGCAGTTTCAGAGGCACCCAATTCGTTGCTGTCCGTAGAGAAGTCTGCACTATCGGACTCCCCTTCCACCTCCAGCTGGTTCCGCATCTCACCAGGCGTCCAAGCATTTTTTCCTGTTGCCGCAGCCCCCGTGAAAACACGACGCATTAATTCCTCGTGTTCCAACCTCTTTGTTCTAAACTTGCAACACTCTTTGTCAACCTGTAATACAATACAATGGGAGTACACCATTACCAAAATGAATAACTTATGAATCACAGAAAATTTTAAACTACCAACATTCAGCAAGTATTAATCAGCCATTATAATAACAAATTTGTCTTGATAGTCCTTACAAAACAGATCTGTCCAACTGTCTGGGCAATTCCATGATTACACATTGCTAACAGGTAATATATTAATCAAATCTGATACAATCTGTTATAATCTGTCCAGCCAGGGATTATGTCCAGACAGGGATAATCTGTCCAGACATTTTTTTTGATAATCTGTCCAGGAATATAATCTGTCCAGTATATTTTTGCAATAATCTGTCCAGGAACAATGTTGAACACAGCAATGTAAAAATAATATTCATAATAGGGCATACCTAATGGAAGATCTAATCCGTAGAAATGATCAAAATTGCATGTACGCAATCCGACAAAGTGACAAATAGTTTAAAACCCAGCTGTTTCAACTCCCAAAAACTAACAAATTAATAAAACCCATAATTAAAAGTGCCAAAACCAGCAATACTATTTTGAATTCTCAGATAACCCATTTACCAAATCCAGAAATGAGACAAACCAAGATGAGACAAGGCTTAAACCCTTTCCCCCCGAAGAAGAACCAATAATACCAACAAAGGTTTTTTTAAGAGGGTTCTAGTGGACAGATAAGGGTTCATGTAATCTGTCCAGGAAAATGTTACTGGACAGCTTATTGTAACAGATTATTACTATTTTGGACAGATTATTATATGATAGCCAAGTGATAGGCTTTTATTGTAACAGATTATTACTATTTTGGACAGCTTATTGTAACAGATTATTACTATTTTGGACAGCTTATTGTAACAGATTATATTTTGGACAACTTATTATAACAGCTTATTGTAATTCCCAGGATCTTACAGTATAGGCTTTTAAAAATATAAGCATATGTTGTCGTCATTCATTAGACATTGTTGGAGTTCATTACATCAATAACAGAAAATGGGGAAAACAGTGAAACAGAAAAACACAACATGATAGATCCAATTGTGAAAGAAAAATTAAGGTAGAAATCTGAGACGGACTACGCAACCACAAAGTAAAAAGTGAAATCAACTCGTGACAATTATACATTTCAACATTACTGAGATGTTGAGGGAAGTTTTCAAGAAGATCAAACAAAGGTTTTACAAAAAACACATGACATGTCATGCCAAAACTAGTGTAACCACGAAGTGAGCATCACAAAATTATGAAACATGAGTTCAAGTCGTTACCTTCTCCATTGTAGCCCACCATTCATCTGATACATTGATGAGGCCAGTCTCTTGGTCGAACCCAATTCCAGTGGGACCTTTGCGGCTATCCATTAGTTTTGACCATGCACGTCACTCTGCCTTTAGTTGGTTGTACTTATTTTTCAGTTGTTTCATGCTATGTGTCAACCCAGTCGCTGCCTCAAAAGTCTTTGCCAAGGACCGGTACCCATTCGGATTTATTGACATGTGCGGCCTGTTACCTGCATCTATTTCCTTGACAACAAGTTCCAAGTAGATACGTGTGTTCTCCCAGTCCCAATTGGCTTTGTGATAAGGTTTTGGGCCCTTCCCTTTCCCGGAAGGGGTACGAGAGCCGGATCGAGTTGAAGCCATGCGACTATAGAACATTATAATTTGCATTACTTATTTGTTTGTTGTGTGCATTACTTGTAGTTGTGTTAACCATATGTTATTATGTTTGTCCAACACATATGCAATAGTAAAATGACACGGATAAGTAACATATTACATAAAGAAAGCATAGTACGGTAACAAGCAACAAGCGGATACATATCACATACGGAAACCATAATACAGTAACCATCTACACCCTGTTACATATATTACATACGGAACAACAAGATAGCGACGATGATGGACAAAAAACATGTGACAACTTTAAGTACACGCAGACTCTGTTCAATGTCAATCAAACGCGCCTCAAAACGACGACCATTGTCTCTGTCATTCTCAGCAGCCGTTTGTCGGCCATATTCGTCACACCACCCAATCCAATTGACACATGGCTGAGGTTAAAAAAAGTTTTGAAATTATTAGTGACGATCTGACAAGGTAATAATCCCAAAGAAGGTGAAGGTGCTTGTACTCACCACTCCACGAGGGCATTGGTAGTACGCACGTCCTGGATTTTTGGCGGACCGAGAAATCTTGACCACACAATGCCCGTACCCACAAGCACACATAGGGCCTGGTTGGGTTGATGTCGCAGTAGACATAAACGAGGCCATGAACTCTGTGAATGTATGATTCGATGACATGACAGGCACAACAAAACAGGTAAACGGGTGTGACACTTATGGTAGGGGATAAGTGAATTGTGTAAACAAAACACAACATTATATTTACAAAAGGGAACATATATTCTTCCATTTTGAATAGGTTTGCTTCCCTAGTCATTTATATGCAAGTGGTTGAATGCTAAGAAGCGCAGAGGCAAAGACGGGAATTTAGTAAAAAACTAGGATACCGACAAGACAAGACAGAAATACAGCAACAGAAATCTTTTGGGTTTTTTTTTTAAGATTTCCAGGTTCATGTATATAAATATTAATTTACGAGACACTGATATAAAAGGCATTAATGTATGTGGGTGTATTTGGACGTTCTCAGTTTCCTGTCTTTGTTTTTATATATTTTAGTTTGATCTTAATGCATCTTCTAAATCATATAAAAAAGATCACAAATATGATTTCAGGCATGTTTAAACATAGGACACATGTATCTATGAACTGTGTAGTTAAAAAAAAGAAATAAGTCATTCCACGTGACGTGTCCAACACAGAGATGTATCCCTAGCATGTTGGTGCCCCATACATTGACACAAACACATCTATTTTGAAGTGTCAGTACTTCAAGTGTCTCAAACTTGTCCTTGCCTTTCATAATGTGAACATAATTTACACTTGTGCTTTGTTATGACAGATTTAAAATCGAGAAATTAAAATATTAATCATGATTCACCATACAACAAGCAAAGAGCTTGAAAATAAAAGTTAAAAAAGAAAACCGCAATCATGGCAAACCAATAATACCAAAATAGCACATGACACACATCAGAAGAAACCTCTTTGATAGCCATGCACACATACTGATGCAATTAACATCTTTGAAATGGGAGAAATGAAAAATCCTCAATCAATTACCATGCTGAAAGACAACCATTCATCACGCTGGAATGACCATGCAGACATACTGATGCAAGTAATCTATCAGTTTAGGAAACATTGTGCTGAGGTGTCTATTTGGGCAACATTAAAATTTGTAGTCTCAAAAAACTAGGTAGGTATGAAGGCAACATAATAACGTAAGATCCCACCACAGCATTAACCATATATTGATAGCATTACAAGTCAAAGTCATCCTTGGATTAGCAGTTTTATTGTATTTAGGACAATGTTAATTAAGGCATAACCACAATGGTTGATACACACACAGCGACAAAGACAAACAGAGAGCGAGAGGGAGAGAGGGCAGACTGTGCACATATACAAAAACCAGAGCAGAGAAGTCATGGTTATGAGATCCACACCCCCCACCAACGGACAACCCGCAATATTGCCTATTTCCGGTACGTGAAAGAAACCCTAAAACCCCCAACATAATAGGGCAGTTTCTGGAAAAATTTACCCAACTAGAATGTTGAAGACAAATTGGAAAACGACAATGGTCAGACAGAGCGACAGACACATACACACAGACAGAGAGGGCGCGAGAGAGAGAGAGCGAGAGTTCATACGTACATACAAACCAAACAGATCATATTCCACGATTGGGAAGCCATAGCGAAATGGAAATAAGAGAGGCTGAAGAGAGAGAGACAGAGAGCGAGAGAGAGAGAGCGAACGAGAGCATACCTGCAGTTGGGGGGATCGTCGGAGGAGGGACTGCTTTTCCGTTTGCCTTGGCGGAGTATCGTCGTCTCTTGGTTCCTCTTTCTCTTCAGATCAGAGCTGCTACTATGATCCAACCTTGAACGAAGGGTCATCTTCATCTTCACCGTTTGATGTAGCTGCACAGCCGTAGCTACTACACCCTGTGGGAGAGTAGGTCTGCTGACATCCCCATCAATGTTTGACATAAAGGCAAGGGTGAATACGAGATAAACAAAATGAAAGAGGGGCAAAACGGTCATTTTACACAATAGATGGTAGCCTTCACGTGCAGCTAGATGTATATAGGTTTTTAGGGTGACTTTTTGGCTTTTTTGATAACTTTTTGGCTTTTTGGCTAAAACAGAAGCATCCCAAACGAGGCCTTAATGGTAAAGTTATACGCATTGTGTTTACTTCCAATATTCAGCCATTAATCAGGTTACAGAACCAAACAATGTACTGTCAACACCAAATAATATCATGTTAATAATTTTTAAGTTATTTACAGTAAGATTTTTTAATTATTAAAATAAAATAATTATATAAATGCCTCTAGACGATGAGGGAATTATGAGAGAATGTTTGCTTTGAATCTCAAACTTTTTATATTTTTTTAGTTTCTTCATATATTCTCTCTATATGATTTTTTTTGTTAAAAAATATTACAACTTCTCTTTAAAAGTTACTCGGTCTTCTTATTTTGTATTTACTTAATATTAATATTAATAAACAGTTTACACACAAAATAAAAAAATAAAAAATGCCTCTAATTTTGAAAATAAATGCAGTGAAAATGCCTCTATTTTGAAAATAAATACCTCTGTTTTGCGGGGATTGAAAATAAACATTCATCTCCAATTTTAATTATATAAATGCCTCTGTTGTGAAAATGAAGGAATTATGAGAGAATAAAATAATATTTGTTTATTTTTAAAAAAGTCCATTAATCCAGTGAATAAAAAATAGGGCAAATATTTTGGCCAATATTTTGTATATTTTGGAAAAAAACATTTGCTACCAATTTTTGTCTCTCCTTCTTTCTCTCAGTGTGTTGGGTCAGTATTTTTCATTGTATTTTCAATATGTTGGGTTAGATTTTTTGAATTCCCGCTGTCGGATATTAGCTTCATGGAAATAAAAACTTATGGTTGCTTTTTCATTAGCAATCAAGAAAGTTTTTTGGGAACTGGTAAAACAAGGCATGTATCTTTCCATTAAAACTTCATGGAAATAAAAGCTTTTCATTAGTAATTCAAGTTATTTTTGGTCAATATTTTGTGTAACCTCATTTCCTCCTTAATGGTAAAGTTATACACATTGTGTTTACTTCTAATATTCAACCATTAATTAGGTTACAGAACCAGAAAATGTACCGTCAACACCAAATAATATCATGTTAATAATTTTTAAGTTATTTACAAAACCAAACAAGCATTAGACATGCAGTGTGTTTACTTCCCAATATTCAACCATTAATTAAGTTACAGAACCAAACAATGTCCCGTCAACACCAAATAATATCATATTAATAATTTTTAAGTTATTTACACTAAGACTTTTTTAAGTTATATCAATGCCTCTAGACAATGACGGGATTATGATAAAATGTTTGCTTTGAATCTCAAACTTTTTATATTTTTTTAGTTTCTTCATATATTTTGTCTATATGATTAGGGGGAGTTGTTATTTTATTTGAGTTTTGTAGAGCGTGTAATACAAGCATTACAACTTCTCTTTAAAAGTTACTCAGTCTTCTTATTTTGTATTTACTTAATATTAATATTAATAAAGAGTTTACACAAAATAAAAAAAAATGCCTCTAATTTTGAAAATAAATGCAGTGAAAATACCTCTGTTTTGAAAATAAATGTCTCTGTTTTAAGGGGATTGAAAATAAACATTCATCTCCAATTTTAATTATATAAATGCCTATGTTTTGTTTATAATTAAAAAAGTCCATTAATCCAGTGAATAAAAACAGGGCAAATATTTTGGCTAATATTTTTGGCCAATATTTTGTATTTTGTGTTTGTGTTTGCATACCACAAGGCAACCACAAACAATATGTAAGCAAAGTTTGTTTGCAGCTCATGAAAATACAACCTGCTCAGGGGCCAAAGAGCTGTAGCAAATGAAATATTACACCCCCTCCACAAATGATTTGCCTAAGATACAATTCTTCCAGCAGTCTAAATCTATATCAAAGTTAAACATCTGCTCAAGTATCAACACCCCCTCCACAAACAAAAGTTAAGGTGGTTTGCATGTTTAAAATTCCCACCAGCCATTCATTGTATCAACATTCTCACATGGTTTTGATTTATCAAATGGGTTTGATTCTTTAATGGGAAATGGGTTTTAATTTAAAATTAGTTTGGTAGTGTACGGGCACGAAATATTCTTCCCGTATAATCCTGTTGATCAAGTCTGTGCTCCTCCGTGCGTCGTCGCTTTACTCCCTAAAAACACAAATGTGAGCTAGCCGGCAGGTGTGTGCCGGATACTTCTCCGATGCCTAAGTCAACAAAATAGACAAATAGGCAAAAAGCTCTATGTGTTTGGGAATCAAAGTTGTGTTACCTCTCCATAGGTAATATTGTGAGCTTTTATAGGTTCCGCGTGGCACAACCCTAGTAGGACTCTTACTCCTCTATGTAGAGTCCTCCTAGGAGTCATACTCCTGAAAGATAATGCTTATCCTTCAACACCCTCCTCACTGCTTAAACCAAGTGAGATGGTTTTACCATGGTCGGACTCCAATATGACCGAGGTAAGCATGGCTATGCTGAGCCGCAGAGTAGACCGAACTATAACTAGTTTGGTTCTTCCTTTCAATGCTCTTACCCCGGTTCCTACTGCACCAACCCTGGCGTGATTAGACCGAGATAACAAAACATCAAGGTCCTGACCGAGCTAGCTGCGGTATTCCACGACCGGGCTAACTCTGAATGCGGCAACCTGACGACCGAGCTATCCGCAGTGCTCTCCTGGACAAAGATAACAATATGCTCTCAGGGACCGGACTAATTAAGGCCTTCTAGGACCGGAGTAACTTTAGGCCTCTTTTCCACCGGAGTAACTTTATGCCTCCTTTGGACCGGAATAACTTTATGCCTCCTTCGGACCGGAGTAACTTTATGGCCTTTTTACTCAGCCCTTCGTACTGTGGCCCATAACGGCCCATTACCTAGCTCGGCCCAATTTTTATATAAATTACCCTCCCAGGTAGTATGGTTACTTGATCTAAAATGGGTTTTGAACATCTGCTCAAGTAGAAAGCTAAGCCATATTTAGTTGTAATAAAACCACCACAATGGATCATATTTAAATAGCAACTGTGTCATAATTAAATTTGAGACCCACAACTAGGGGTGAGCATAGTCTAGATTGAACCAGATTGGGATAAAACCAGGACCAATCCGTTATTTACGATTTCTGAAAAATTAGAACCAATCCAATCCGTTTAAATCATGGAACCAATCCATTTAAACATGGATTAGAACGGTTTAGGACCACAGATTCACATAATTAAATAACAAAAAATATATATATAACACTTTAATTTCATAAAAACATAAACATAGCACTATATTTGTTTCACAATAGCAACATGTCTTTCTATTATAGCGACATGCTGTTCTAGAATTTAAATAACCATAAGAAAACTGGTTTCACCATAAGTATTTAGACCATTACAAATTAAAACTAAAAAACTAACAGGCAAAAGTAATAAAAGAAGATATTATGCGAGTTTAGGTTTGAGTTTAGGTTTTATATGGAATAAGAGAAGATACTATGGGGGAGAATATATAATAAAAATATAGACTATTTGTATACGGTCCGGATCGGTTCCAATCCAAAACCGTGGGGTTCAATCCAGAACCAATCCGTGGACTACGAATTTTTAATTCTTCAATCCAGAACTGAATCACGGATTCAAAAAATCAATCCAAACCAACCGGATTGGACTGGACTGGATCGGATTACGGATTTCACGAATTCCTTGCTCAGCCCTACTGACAACAAAAATGAAGGTGTGCTTTGTTTAGTTTAAAAGCTTTATTTAGTTTAATTACAAGAAAGCTTTGTTTAGTTTAATTACAAGAAAGCTTTATTTTCTTTGACCAATATTTGGATCAGACAGTTTTGGCCAATATTTGTGTGTCTGTTTCTATTTTTTTTTGTATTTTGTGTTTATGTTTATGTTTGCGTTTGTGTTTCCATATGTAAGCAAAGTTTTTTCAGGAGCCAAAGAGCTGTAGCAAAACAACTTAGAATAAAGTAAAAATCAAAAATCAAACTGGTAGTTAAACAAACCCCTTCAGAAACCCATTTTACTATTTTTGAAATAAAAAATCATTCAAAAACACATTTAAATTTAATCATTTTCAGAAAATCACGACCTTTTTTCACCTTGCACCCAGTCCTACCTTTGCAGCTCGCCTTAATAGATAACATGTTGAACGAAGAAATATCATCTCTCTTTTGGTAACACAGATGAGGTTCCAAACATTAATTCATTTATTTGATAGTTGGCAACAATTAATGAAATTACACTTTCTAATTCTGTTCATCTTAGTTTGTTCATCTTTCTCTCAATTTTGTTCTAATTTTTGTTCATCTTGGTTTCTTTGTTCATCTTAGTTTGTTATTTGCTGTGTGATTCTAATGTACAGATGATAAATAATTTTCATATAATTTATTTTGAATATCTAGAGTTCCTAATTAAAAGAAAAATTTCGGAGACTTGGCATTTTAATATTTATGTGTAATATGGCAGAGAGTTTATATTTTTTTTTTTTTTACCTTTTTAAGGGAGTATAATATTTTAAAATTCTAGTGAATGTATATGTGTGTGTATTTCTTTAGTTGTCTTTATGAAATAATTATTCATTATTACTTATAAAATGGATTTGTTATCTGGTGAATTTTATTTTTTTGGTATAAATTTATGTTTGGACTTTCCAAGTAATAAATAGTGAATTTCAAAAAATATTTATGATTATAATGGGTTTTGATTTTGGTTTTAATTTCATCTCTATAAAATTGAAGTCAGTTAGGAAAGAGAAGAGTTTAAATTTGGACAATTGTTGTGCTCCGATTTTAATTTATCATTTTAATGTGATTGTTAAAATACATCTATTCTAAAAAATGGGTTGGCTTAGAAAATGTGAGTTTGATGATGGGTTTCTCAGAGAATGCAGAGAGAGAGAGAGAGAGATTATTTGGGACTTGGTTTGTGGTTAGTGCTTTGTGTTGTATAAATTAGTCTAAGAGGGAAGGGATTGTTTGTTTGGAGCTATTTAA